TAGAGGCAATAAAAACACAAAGGGGGGAAGGGGAGAGAAATAGAGAAAGAAAAGGAAAGGAAAAAAAAAGAGTAGAAAAGAGGTTAAAAGAGAAAGGTAGAAAACTAAGATTCAGAAAATAAATAACTTCTGATTCTTCATCTATCTTCTATATTAAAAAAAAGCAATATTCAGTTTGTCCAATCCACCCAACAAAGCCACTTTCTATAAACAAACATGATCTTCAATCCTCAAATCCAGATATCATTATTTCTTTTTCTTTTTCATGTAAAAAGTCTATGAGGGGCTTCCAATCTCTAACACATGTTAACAATGACTTAGCAATGTTTAGTCTCTGACTAAACATGTCAATTTAGCCATTTCAGCTAAGTCTCTTAGTTTTAACAGCTATTCTTCCATTGTTGATAATAATGGGTTCTCCCATCTTTGTGGCTATAAAAGTCTCGCAGCCGTAATCATATATTGTACTAAAGTTCCACAGTCCTTTCCTAACTGTATATATCCATAAGTCCCGTCAGGAAGAGTTCTGGCTTCAGCTGAAAACCAGCAGTTATACTATCAAAACAAACCAACTTGAATCAGAGAGCAGCAGAACATCTCAGTAGCGAACAATTTGAACAGAGACAAAAGAACAATAATAATGAAAATCACCGGGTTAAATGAATATACAAAGTATATTGGTACCGTTAGAGGTCTCCTAGCATCCATCTCAAATGGGTGACAGCCTGTACTCTCTATGAAGCTGTGTACTGGTAGGGTTGCTATTTCCAGAATCAATTTTGCTCAACAACTTTTGTGTCTGGATTTTCACTGTTTGAAACGTGGCAACCCTAGGTAATGGTCATTTCTGAAATGAACTCTTCATGACAGCCTCCCTGCCCATTCCACATAACAAACTAGCCTCATAGCTATGGCTTTCTGAGGTCCCAACTGCATTTAAAACAGTATCATAACACTTTAAACAGTCATTGCTTCCCGCCCAAGGAATCCTGGGAGCTGTAGTTTGTTAAGGATGATGATAGTTCACAGAAGCCGATGCCATTGCAAATGTGGTGGCCTTGAAGGTGCCACAAGTCTCTTCTGCTATTTTTAAGGAACGTTGGTATATCTGCAGGGTTTTGAGACAAATTTCATGTCTGTGAGGTGACTCCTTTTGGGGAAATGGCATGGGAAAATGACCAACTGTGCCCTCGCTTGAGTGCCAAAATCCCAGTCCAGTTCAGAGGCTCAAGAGATTGCAGTCAGAGCCCTTCTGCATTATGCATTTAAAGCAGTATCTTATCTTATCAATCTTATCACCGGAGTAGTTTAACAGCCCATATCTCTTCCCAGGGAACTCTAGGAATTGTAGTTCTGCGAGGGGAATAGGCATCTCCTAACTACTCTCAGCGGGACACGGGTGGCGTCAAACCACAGAGTCTAGGGCTTGCCGATCAGAAGCTCGGTGGTTCGAATCCCTGCGACGGGGTGAGCTCCCGTTGCTCGGTCCCTGCTCCTGCCAACCTAGCAGTTTGAAAGCACGTCAAAGTGCAAGTAGATAAATAGGTACCACTCTGGCAGGAAGGTAAACAGCGTTTCCATGCGCTGCTCTGGTTCGCCAGAAGCGGCTTAGTCATGCTGGCCACATGACCCGGAAGCTGTACGCCGGTTCCCTCGGCCAGTAAAGCGAGATGAGCACCGCAACCCCAGAGTCGGCCACGACTGGACCTAATGGTCAGGGGTCCCTTTACCTTTAACTACTCTCAGCATCCTTATCAAACTGTGGTTCCCAGGATTCTTTTGGGGAAGCTATGACCGTTTAAACTGGTATGATACTGTTTTGGAGGTATAGTGCAAAGTCTATACAACAAAAATCCTTTTTGGGGCTGCAGCAGGACTTATGGTTTCAGCACCAAGCCAACTTTTGTTTCCCCAACTCGATGAAGAGCTCAGGTGGACCTGAAAGCTTGCTTACTGCTGTGGGATGTTTTGCTCGCTCACAACAAAAGGGTGCTGGGAATTTTTTCCAAGGGAAAGTTACAGTTTACCCCCAGGGTCATGCATGCTCATGTCTTCCTCCGCTCGGCTTATTTGGTGGGTTCCTCTCTTGAGAAAAGCTTATTTGTTTGACGTGCGGAGGAAATAGTGCCCGGGGAGATGATGCCGCCGTCCCTGCTGTGACATATGTTGGTGGCGAATTTTCTCTGCAGACGCAAAGCCTAGAGCCCAAATGAAAACATCAAGCACCTCCTTGACCCAGTTCAGGTATCGCACAATCAGCCAGGGGCGCCCTAATCTGGAGATGCCTTTGGTGGAGGAGAAAAGCAATTCGACGAGAGGAGCCCTTCGAGGGGTTGGACATGTAATTGCTCCTGACCTGAAGCCCTCTTGGGAGTTCTCCGGGCTGCTGTCGGGAAATCAAGTTTAACAGATGTCAGGTCTCTCTCTATCCCCTGCCCTCCCAGCTCCTTTTGGAGGAAGGCCAGAGGAAGATCAGTCAGACTAATTTGAGGAGTGGAAAGATATGTCTTATGAGGAGCGGCTTAACATGCTTGCCCTTCAGATCACAGCGAGCGAGGGGATCCAATTTAAGCACCCTCGATGCTAAGGGAGTTCAAGTCAGGATGCTGTTATGGACCCGGTGGCTCATTATGTAATATAGCCTTTCCCAACTTGTGGGTCCTCAGATGTTGTTGAACTACAACTCCCATCACCCCTAGCTAGCAAGGCCAGAGCTCAGGGATGATGGGAGTTGTAGTCCAACAACATCTGGGGACCCACAGGTTGAGAACCACTCAATTGAAGAAGTGCCCAACTGGATCAGGCCTGTGGCCCAACTTAGGCCAGCATCCTGTTTTCACAGTGGCCAACCAGATGCCTGTGGGGAACTCGCAAGCAAGATTTGTTTTTGTTTTTCAAAAATTTTATTCATTTTATAACACAAATAAACAACACAAACAGAAAAACAATACAAACAAATTCTTGCATTATCCTTATTTTTTTAAACAATGTTAGGTGGGCTTCCCCAAGTCCCCCCTATCTGATTTTCATTTTACCTCATCTTTAGCAGTTCATAATTTCTAACCATTTTTTAAAATCACGTTTACTATTACCGTAAAAATCTTCACATTTTATCACTTACAATTACAGTGGTACCTCAGGTTACATACGCTTCAGGTTACATGCACTTCAGGTTACATACGCTTCAGGTTACAGACTCCGCTAACCCAGAAATAGTGCTTCAGGTTAAGAACTTTGCTTCAGGATGAGAACAGAAATCGTGCTCCAGCGGCGCAGCAGCAGCGGGAGGCCCCATTAGCTAAAGTGGTGCTTCAGGTTAAGAACAGTTTCAGGTTAAGTACGGACCTCCGGAACGAATTAAGTACTTAACCTCAGGTACCACTGTAATACTATTTTAAAATAGGCTATCTTCTACTTCTAACCCTACAGCCTACATCCATTTCCAAAGCTGTTCTAAGATTTAAATATTAACATATTTTTTCAAATATTCCTTAAACTTCTTCCAATCTTCTTCCACTGTCTCTTGTCTCTGGTCCCGGAGTCTCCCAGTCAGTTCGGCAAGTTCCATATAGTCCATCATCTTCATCTGCCATTTTTCGATAGTTGATAATCGCAAGCAGGATTTGAGCAACAAGAGCAGCTCTTCCCTCTTATGGTTTCCAGCAAACTGGTATTTGGAAGCTTCTGGCTATGGAGGCAGATCATAGCCATCATGACTGGTAGCCATTGATAGACCCCTCCTTCAAGAATTTGGCCAGTCCTCCTTTAAAGCTACCCAAGTTTGTGACCGTCCTCTTGTGGGAGTGAGTTCCACAGTCTAACAATACGCTGCCTGAGTACGAGAGAGAAGCCTCCAGGCTGTGGCTGATGGCAGTGTGGTGCAGGGGGCAAAATCCTGGATTTGCCTGCCAGAGCCAACATCCCAATCTCCTTTCAAGAGAATATCACTATCTCTCTGGGTGATATGTTGGTAAGTCATCTGAAAATCGCATTCAGATCGCCATGCCAGTTTCAGACATTTTGAACTGGCAGTGCACCCCAGTCCTGTCTGGAGGTGTCAGGATTTGAACTGGGACTTTTGGCAGGCAAGGCAAAATGCTCCATCACTGAGCTGTGGTCCTTCCCTAGAGGTGAGTAAGGGGATGGATGGACGCGATAGATGGGAATGAAATTCTCTCTTTTCAAAAAAAGTTTTTATTTGATTTTACAAATAAAGAATTACAGCAGTACAAATTACATATCCATATTTAGAGATTTCCCCAAATCTCTGGACTTCCCACCTTCCCTTCCATGGGTCCGATTGTCTACCTTCTCAACTGCATATTATTTCATCATCCATGTTTTGTATCTTTCCATTTTGTCCATAATATTTGCTACAATTCAAGTGTTATTAGAATCCTGCTAATGTTTTCATCTGCGGACAGTGGTCTCCTAGATACAATATCAATTTCCCCATTCTTTATTAAAACTTTTTGTCTTCTTGGTTCCTGAGCTTTCTGGTCATTTTTGCCATTTCGGCATATTCCAACAGCTTGGTTTGCCATTCCTCTGTGGTAGGGACATTGTCTTCTTTCCATCTCTCGGCTAGTAGCATCCGTGCGGTTCAGGGCCGGATTTAGGTTTGATGAAGCGCTAATGAAGGTAATGGGGCCCTTTATATGTCCAGCTGTCCTTTGTCAACAACAAATTGTCACTGTTTTTTGTGTTGAATATATGCTACACGGCACTGTATTTTTCGCTGCATAAGACGCACCCGACCATAAGATGCACCTAGTTTTTAGAGGAGGAAAACAAGAAAAGCCAGCAAGAGCTGCAGACACGCTCGCTCGGTGCGGCTCTTTAAAGAAAGAGCGGCTCTTGCTGGCTTTTCCGGGAGGTGGGAGAAGGGACTGATGGGCTCCATCCCTCCTCCCTCCTCCCTGAAAAGCCAGAGCAAGCTGCGCAGCTATCGCTGAAGCCAGCAGAGCAAGAGGGGGAGCTGCGCAGTGGCTCTTGCTTTGCTGGCTTCCCAGTGAAGCGGGAGGAGGAATGGAAGGGGCTCCATAATGGCTCCTTTCCATCCCTCATCCTGCTTCGCTGGGAAGCCAGCGACCCAGAAGCGCTGCTCAGCTCTCGCTTTTGCTCTGCTGGCTTCAGCGATAGCTACGCAGCCTGCATTCGCTCCATAAGACGCACACACATTTCCCCTTACTTTTTAGGAAGCTTTTAATGTTTGATGTATTACTGCGTTTTAATATTTGGTTGGAAGCTGCCCAGAGTGGCTGGGGAAGCCCAGCCAGATGGGTGGGGGTATAAATAAAAAATTATTATTATTATTATTATTATGAAAAAAGTGCATCTTAAGGATCAAAAAATACTGTAGTTCAAAGCTCTTTGCATGCAGTCAACCCAAACCATAGTTTAGCTACCATAGGGAGCCTCTTTGAAGGCTGACTGGTGTTGAAACAGTGCCTTCAGAGGAGGTTACTGTTAACCGCTAATCAGCAGTTGCAGCAACCTCCATTGAATGTTGACAGGTGTTAATCACCTGATGTCATTATGCTCTTGCTCTGCTGGCTTCAGTGATAGCTCCGCAGCCTACATTCGCTCCATAAGACGCACACACATTTCTCCTTACTTTTTAGGAGGAAAAAAGTGTGTCTTATGAAGCGAAAAATATGGTACTTTATGGACCTAATAGGTATCTAAAGCCATTTGCACATAACAAAATATGTCTTTTATCACATTGATTTTATTTTATTTGTTTTTTATCTTATATTTTGGAAATGTACACCCAGTTTTTTTTCCTTTAAAATTTTTGCCCCCCCCACCAAGAGAGTGGGGCCCTAAGCTATAGCTTGTTTAGCTTATATGTAAATCTGGCACTGGTGCGGCTGTTGTCGCATACATAAAGAGCCTTTTCTGGATGGGAATGAAATTCTGCATGGGTTGGAAAAAGTGGACAGAGAGAGAATACACATGTTGGAATCATAGAGTCAGAAGGGGCCCCAAAGGTCATCCAGTCCAATGCCCTGCAATGCAAGAATCTCAACTAAGGAAGATGCGCGTCAAGCGAAAGGAAGTGCTATGACTTGGAAAGCATTGTTAAGCTGGGTTTTTTTAAAAAAATTAACTTATTTAGAGCATTTGTAGCGTGCTTTTCACCAAAAAAAGTCTCCCGGAGTGGCTTACATGAAATCAAAACAAGACACCCCTTTTCCGCAGGTTTTTTGATGCCGGCCTCTTCAGTAGCTGTACGGGAGACCCCCGTAGAAGAAGCAGACTCCTAGAAAAGTTGCATTTGCTGCTGCAAGATGTAGAATTGGGCCACCGGTTGGGATGCCTTGTAAATCGAGTTAGGCAAATTCAGATGCTGTCTCCCAACCCAAAGAGAAAAGACCCTGACCTTTTGTAATGATAAAGTAGCCTTCCCCAAGTTGGTGCCCTCCAGATGTTTTGGACTACAGATCGTGGCTGGGGCCGATGGGCTTTGCGATCCAGAACATCTGGAGGGCTACCAGCTTGGGGAAGGCTGCACTAAACCAATGAGGTTCCTGCCCTTTGCAAAAACGCATTCCGTCCATCGTGTAACGGGCTGGAAAGAAACTGAGCCGATGAATGCTGCAAAATACCAATTGCCTCATTTTCTTGCTAGTGGGCTGCAGTTTAGCTGGCAGAATGGAGAGGAAATGGCCAATTGGACCGGCAGCCTCAATTTCACGGATGGCGGAGCTTTGAGGAGTGGCGGTGACACTGGCACCAGGTACAATCGCACACCCCCAGGGCGTTGTGGTGGCGGGGTTGACCGTGGTCCCCGGGGAGAGTCTCTTGGCACAGTCAGGGCAGGCCCCACAGCTCAGTAGCAGAGCGCTGCGTCCTTTGCATGCATGAGGCCCCAGTGTTGCGTTCTGAGGCCAAAGGAAAAGGACTGGACCCTGATTAAAATAAGACACGAGGCTTTGACCGGCAAGGCTCTCGGAGGAAGTGCGTACACCACACCCCTCACCACGCCATTTTATTAACAAAAGAACCCTTTACACAGTGCTCGTAAGAACCAATCAGATTTCCTCTGAGCATTTAAACAAACCCCACGTGGGGACAAAGTTAAACTACAAACACTAGTTAAGCAAGCATACTTTTGGAGTAAATGAATGAAAACTACAAAGGAGCGCATTCAGCAACCCCGGAGGTCATAAACAATCAATACACATGATAAGAAGGATGGCCAGGAGGACAGCGATCATTATCAGCTTCATGTGAAACCTGTTTCCTGGCCCTAAGATTAACATCCTAAGATTAACATATCAGAAAAGCTACATCGACGAAACTGCCCACTGTCTTTGAGGACCCAGGACGCCTGCCTGTCTAAGTGTGTACGTGACTTGTCAAGAAAGAGGAATGGAACAGGGATGCAGAGGTGTAGATTGATCAAGAATCATATCAAAATAGTTTAAACCTAGTCAACGCAATGCTTTCATTGCTGACACAGATGGCTTACTCTATATTTGTTATAATTCCTCATAGCAATCCCACCTGATCACTACACCCAGGATTTCTGGTAGCAGCACTGGGAAAGTCCCTGCACCCATGGAGAGATCCCCGCAGGTCAGAGCACCAGGGTTAGATGGAGCATTGATCTAGCTAATGGGGTGCGGGTGGCGCTGTGGTCTAAACCACTGAGCCTCTTGGGCTTGCCGATCAGAAGGTCGGCGGTTTGAATCACCACGATGGGGTGAGCTCCGGTTGCTCTGCCCCAGCTCCTGCCAACCTAGCAGTTCAAAAGCACACCAGTGCAAGTAGATAAATAGGTACTGCTGCGGCGGGAAGGTAAACGGCGTTTTCATGCGCTCTGGCTTCTGTCACGATGTTCTGTTGCGCCAGAAGCGGTTTAGTCATGCTGGCCACATGACCTGGAAAGCTGTCTGTGGACAAATGCAGGCTCCCTTGGTCTAAAAGCAAGATGAGTGCCACAACCCCATAGTCGCCTTTGACTGGACTTCACCGTCCAGGGGTCCTTTACATTTTTACCTTTAGATCTAACTCCGTGTATGTCATGGACTGGCTAAGAGAAGAGAATAAAGATTTGTGGAGGGTGGGACGTTCAGCTGCACAAGTGCAAATCCTTGCGCTGATGGGACATGTTAGTTGGTCTGATGGACAGATAAGTCTAATACTACTATTACTACTACTACTAATTTGCAGGCCTTTAGCAGTCTTTCCCGAAATTGGTGCCTCCCTCCAGAAGTTTCGGACCACAATGTCCCATCAGCTGATGGTAGATGTAGTCCAAAATAGCTGGTAAGCACCAGGTTTGGGAACGCAGAGGGCCTTCTCGGTAGTGGCACCTGCCCTGTGAAACTCCCTCTCACCAGATGTCAAAGAGAAAAACAACTACCAGACTTTTAGAAGACATCTGAAGGCAGCCCTGTTTATGGACGCTTTTAATGTTTAATAGAATATTGTATTTTAATATTTTGTTGGAAGCCGCCCAGAGTGGCTGAGGAAACCCAGCCAGATGGGCAGGGTATAAATAATAAATTATTATTACTACTATTATGAAGGGTGATCCAGAAGGAGACGGACAGAGGATGATGTCTTATTCATTCATTCAATCAATCAATTAACTTTGCATACTGCCCTTCATCCAAAGCTGACAGGGTGGTTCATAGCATAAAGATACAAAAATGGAAACGTAAAATGCATAATAAAACAAAAGCAGAACAAACCCAGTAACCATAAACACATTTGAAAGGCCGTAGAAGGTTAACCATCCAAACGCCTGGAGATGCTAGGATTTGAACCCAGGGCTGCCTGCCCTTGAGCTGTGGCCCTCTCTCCCCACCCAATGCGGTAACAGGATTCGGCCTCCACATTTGTCCAAACGTGCCCCTTGCGCGCTGTCAGCTCTGCATTCAGAGTTAGCATCTGAAGCAATGTGACCCTTAAGGAAAAGATGAGCGAAAGCTGATCTGGACGCTGCAGTGCATCGTAATGGGCTAGGATGGCTCTCGTGCAGCAGCTACGTGACTCAGGCTGTTATATTTGCAGAACGCATCACTCAGAGCCGCTCCTCCTCCTCGTGCTCTCCAAAGGCAGCCGGCACAATCCGTGACCCTTTCCGCTCACATATGGTAACTCCATAAGAGCCTAGTGCTGAACTTGCTATTTATTTCAGTTTGCGATTGCAGTTGTTTTTTTAAAATCCCACCTTTCATCCAAAGACCTCAGGGTGACTTTCAGGCTCCCCCCAACCTCATTTTTGTCCTCAGCACAACCCTGTGAGGTAGGCGAGACTGAGAGGCAGAGAAATTTGAACCTGGATCTCCCTGGTCTTAATCCAGAACGCCAACCATTATACCACCCTGGCTCTCTTACTCATTTTCACCACCCTATTTTCTTGAAAATAGGTGTGGGTGGGGGGAAAGGGACTTTCAGCTGTTTTTGACAAAAACAAAACAAAACGGGGGACAGTTCAGGTGGCTGTGACGATGCTCCTCTGAGCAGCCAGTGACTGCTCTTAAAATTTCCCAGAAGCCCTCTGGGGCAAAGCACATAGCATTGTTCCCAGGAGACTTCTGGGAAATTAAAATGGTGGCCAGCCTGACAATCACCTCTCTGGTCGTAGTGAAACCTGTGTTGGAGAAAAAGTGAGGTGGGGTGGTGGTTTCAAGGCACCCCCTTCCAACTGAGAGCTTTAGGGCCATTCGAAATAAACTTCCTGGTTTGGCTTACTACCTGTGACTTCAAAGGCAGGGCCAGGGATTGTCCAACGGACCTCAAGACATGGCTAGTAGCTGTGTTCAGGTTGGTGGAAGGGCCATTGCTCAGTGGTAGATTGTTTCTTTTACATGCAGAATCCCTGACGTCTCAAGGTAGGACTGGGAATGACCCTCACCTGAAACCTTGGAGAGCTGCTGCCAGTCAGTGTAGACAATACTAGGCTAGATGGACCAATGATCATCATCATCATCATGTTTATACCCCACCCATCTGGCTGGGTTTCCCCAGCCACTCTGGGTGGCTCCCAACAGAGAACTAAAAGCAGAATAAAATGTCAAACATTAAAAACTTCCCTAAACAGGGCTGCCTTCAGATGTCTTCTAAAAGTC